CTTTATTTCTGAGAGTGTAGGGTTAATTTTACCCTAAAGCCTGGTTTACACTTGACATGTCTGCTAGTTCACTTGAGTGCATGTGGTGAATGTGAAGTCATCGCTGTGTTTGCGGAGTTTCGCTTTGGGTGCGCGCGACATGATTTCAGCTGGCGGAGTGCATCTTCTTTTGAGACTCGAGCGAACAGTTCGACCGGCTACGTGTTAGATTTGAGTTGAATATGAAACACTTTGAAGAAATTTTTTTCTGAAACAGAATGCCTGTACATCTTTATGATCCGTTCATGCGCAATCATATGGATAACCAGATGACCAATGATTCTTGGCTAGAAATTGCAACAGCAGTCGGAAAAGGAGGAAAGTTTTTGTTAAAAACTTTGGAAAAAGTGTACACAGGTGCACAGACCCAGGTACACAATTACACATTATGTTTTTCCACCATTTATAGGTTTTACACTGGTGTAAATATAACAATGTTGAATTTATAGTTACAAAACTATAATTAAGGAACAATTGAAGAGTTGAAGAGAGAGAAAATTCTAAATCCATCAGACCTTTTTTCTATCAGGCTCCTCTGATAAGGTTCAGAATTTTCATTTTTTAGATAATGAAAAGGTTATCAGCTTGTAAATATTTTTTTCAAAAATGTCCCTTTTGACAATTCTTTGGTTTTTAATAATTTAAATTTTCGTTTGCGTCAAAAACAGATAAATCCACTTGTGTGTGTGTGTGTTTTTTTTTTTGCAAAAACCTCTAAATCCAGCTATTGGACAACACAGTGTAATTAGCTGAAAATCACTAAAGATGCAATTATAAATGATTTTTACTAAATATGTAACACATACACTAACCACGTAAAATTAAAAATACATAAATCTGTCAAGTATTCCGTTTATTCCACTGTGGTAACTTCTGATATACCAGAGACTAAATATTAAATCAATTTAGACATATATAAATATAAATACATACTATATATAGACATTATTAAATCTTGACATTATTAAATCTTAATCTGTTGTCATTTCTGAAATTTGGGATTTAGATTTAATGGAAGTAGAGCAAAGTAAACTAAGCTTGTTAGATTCCTATAAATTCTTATAAAAAATGAAGAATAAGGGGCCAATCACACTGAACGCGCTTTTTGCATTGAGGGGTGCCTTTTTTTGAAAGGTTTACTAACGGGCATGAGTGTTTTGTGCGCTGCTCTTGCACCCTGTGTGCCTTGCGTTTTAACCACCTGCTGTGCCCCGCATTTTGTCATTGAAAAAACTCAACTCTGTGTGGAAAAGCGTGTTACGTCACTCGCGTCTTTTTTATTTTCCAATTAAAGGAAAGCAGAGGTGGGGTTTCCGTTGAGGTGCCTGCAGTGTTTGTGTTCTCAAGACAACAACGGAGACTTTTGAAGATGGAGGAGAGACTTTTGATTGCTGCTTTGAGTTACCCGGTGATGTATGACTTCACAAATCTTGAATATAAAAGTATTATTAATCATTAAAATTATATTAACATCAACAGCATTACTCTCGCACAATACCCAGCTGATTCAGTTGTTGTATAGCGACATAAGTGCACCGAGATTCTTTTTTTTTTTTTGTCATACAAAAAAGGCAGTGAGATGTGTCTTGCGATATTGGAACGTAAATGCGCGTTCAGTGTGATCGGCCCCTAAATTTGTATCCTTAAACAAACCAGCTGTGCTGGTATTTAATTTGCATTAAAAAGATGATTAAAAAATAAAATACCATCAACATTTTTTTGAGGATGTTTTTTTTATTTTTTTATAACTGTTCAGATTTCTGGATGGTCGATCTGTGTTTTCTTTTGAAGTCATTTTTGCAGATTTTTTTTTTGGTTTGTTTTGTGTGTTTTGTTTTTTGGCAAAGTGTTTCATCTCGATTCCATCATTCTGTTTTGGTCTTTTTCTTTTCTGCAAAGGTCAACAACACATGGACTGTGGTCAGATTGTTCAGCTTCTGTCTCCAGACAGCTGGACACAGATTTTGAAATGCTACACAAGCAGGAGGTCGCGGATGCTCTATCTGTAACAGTTACACACGTGTTTACAAACACAAACTCTTCAATTCCTGTCCATCAGTGTGACCAGAGGTCAGTTCTAAACCCGTTCCAAACAAACACATGAATAAATCTAAATAAGTATGAGGGAATTTGCATAAAAGGTGATCTTTTCCTTTATGCTCGAGCTGACGGAGGTCAAACTTGATTGCGGTTTCATCATTCATGCAGAACATTTTCTCTTTCTTTCACTCTAATTGAAAACTGTAATGAGGGGGTATAAGTTATCAATGTTTAAGCTTTAAATGAGAACATGAAGATTCACCAGCTCAATTTTTGTCAAAATCATAAAAGATTAAATGGGTGACTCTGATCGAGGAAAATGTATTATAAATATGTTTTATTTTGAAATGTCTTTCAAATATATGAATGAGATCTGATTATGGCAAAATCTGGTTTTGGAAAAATAATCTGTGATGGATTGCAAATTTAAATAGTCTCTGATGGCAATAAGAATTTTGGAGTTTTGAAAAATGTATCATAATTATTTTAGCCTACTATTTTACATAATAGTTATTACATTGTAGTAGCTAAAATATGTCTTCTTCTTCTTCCTGTTCTTTATCTTTCTTCTTCTTCTTCTTCTTCTTCTTCTTCTTTATATATTTATGTATTTATTTATTGATGAAATGAAAGTAATGTTATTAAATAAAATGTTTATTTTTAATAAAAAATTAATTAAAACAAAAAGGTAAATAGATAAATGAATGAATGAATGAATGAATAAATAAATAAATAGATAGATAAATAAATAAATAAATAAATAAATAAATAAATAAAATAAAATAAAATAAAATAAAATAAAATAAAATAAAATAAAATAAAATAAAATAATTCATTATTTAAAAACGCAGCCTTGGGCTGGATGGGATCTGCTTTGGCGACCACAAAATTTCATTTCTGTTATTCGCAGACAATGTTGTTCTGTTGGCTTCATCGAACATGGACCTTCAGCATGTACTGGGGCGGGTTGCTGCCCTGTGTGACGTGGCTGGGATGAGAATCAGCACCTTCAAGTCCAAGGCCATGGTGTTCCACCGGAAAAAGGTGGTTTGCCTTCTCCAGGTTGGAGGAAAGTCCTTACCCCAGGTGGAGGAGTTCAAGTATTTTGTTCACGAGTGAGGAAAGGATGTAACGTGAGATTGACAGGCGGATTGGTGCAGTGGAAGCAGTAATGCGGTCGATGTACCGGTTCATTGTGGTAAAGAAGGAGCTGAGTCGAAAGGCAAAGCTCTTGATTTACTGGTCAATCTGCGTTCCTTCTCTCACCTATGGTCACAAGCTTTGGGTCATGACCGAAAGGACAAGATCTCATATATAACCGGCCGAAATTAGTTTCCTTCGCAGGGTGGCAGGGCGCACCCTTATAGATAAGGGGAGGAGCTCTGTCACCCGGGAGGAGCTCGGAGTTGAACCAATGCTCCTCCACATTGAGAGAAGTCAGCTGAGGTGGCTCGGGCATCTGTTTCGGATGCCTCTTGGACGCCTACCTAGGGAGGTGTTCTAGGCATGTCCCACCAGGAGGATGCCTCAGGGAAGTACCAGGACATGCTGGTGGGACTATATCGGTCAGCTGCCCTGGGAATGCCTCAGGAATTATATAAAATAAAGTAAAATAAACATAAATAAAAATAAAAATAAAATAAATAAGTAATAATAAAAAATCTAATTAAATGAAAAATAATTAAATAAAATGAAAATCTATATTATTGTTGATGTTATAATTATTATTATAATAATAATAATAATAATTATTATTATTACTAATATTTTCAGTTCCAGTTATTTTTGATCATTAATTAAAAAGAAATATTTGACAATGAAAGCAAGAAGAAAGCAATATACAATATTATATATTAAAAATTGATAAAATATACTGTATTTTCCACACCATAAGGCGTACCAAATTAAAAGACGCAGTCTTATTTACGGGGTCTATTTCTGTACATAACCCATACATAAGGTACATTATAATATAAGGCGCATACTAAACATACGGTCTACAAAACCAGCCACAGCCACAGTCATATCACCCTGCAGCCCAAGAACGGTTACTTACTGAAAATAAACAGGGCTGAGCCTGGTCAGTACCTGGATGAAAGACCAAATGGAAAAAACTAGGTTGCTGTTGGAAGTGGTGTTAGTGAGGCCAGCAGGGGTGCTCAACCTGTGGTCTGTGTGAGTCCTAATGCCCCAGTATAATGAAGGGGACACTATGCTGTCAGTGGGTGCAGCCTTTTGGATGAGACGTTAAACTGAGGTCATGTGGTCATTAAAAATCACATGACACTTCTTGTAAAGAGAAGGGGTGTAATTCCCACCATCGGCCCTAACAATCATGGCCTCCCAATTATTCCCATCCACTGAATTGGCTCTATCACTGTCTCTCCACTCCATTAATAGCTGGTGTGAGGTGAGCGCACTGATGTCATTGTCCTGTGGCTGCCGTCGCATCATCCAAGTGGATGCTGCACACTGGTTGTGGTGTGTAGAGACCTCCCTCATGATTGTGAAGCGCTTTGGGTGTGTGGACATACAGAATAAATGCGCTATACAAATACACATTACTTACTTACAAAAAAGGTGACGGAAGTAAAACAGTGAGTTTACTCTATTTAACAATACATTTTCATTATTTTTTTTATTATTTATTATTTATTTATTTATTTATTTCAAGTCTTCATCTTCTGTGTCTGATTTAAACAGTTGGCCAATTTTGCCATCTAACATGGCAGGTTCCTGCTTATCATTGTCATTAGTCTCGTTGTGATGTGGCTGTTCAGCAATGATGCTGGCTTTCGCAAAAGTCTCACAACAGATAAAGCAGATACCTTAGGCCAGGCCTCCACAATCCATTCACATATGGTGGCGTTATTCTCCCGACGCTGACAACCAGTCTTAGGCTCCATTTACATGAATACGCTTTAGTTTTGAAACGGTGTTTTAAAATGAAAACGTTCTGCGTACTGGTTTCACCCAGCGTTTCTGAACAACTCTTCATCCACACTATACCACTGAAAACAGACAATACGTGACCAAATGCACACACTCTGGCATGTGCTGTAACGTATGTGGATGTCTGAGCTCCAGGCAGTCATCTACCCAGATGAGAGCTGTGCACGTCGGACTGTTCATCTAGGATCTACCACTGAATTTAATCTCACTATATTTGCAATATTTATTGAACGTGATATTTAATTCATCTTGTTCTCTATCCAACGACATATTCCCCGACTTTTAGAATCTATTACTTGATCTCAGGTAACATGTTCTTGCTGAGCGCAAAGATATTAATTTATGTAACCGAGTACACTGACTCTACACATTTGACTGATTGCTTGCCTTTATTTTCTATAAGCTTATCATACGTTATACTTTTATAATGGCCATTATTGATTATTAAAACTGATATTCAATGAAAGAGAGGGTATGTTTCATATTTTCAATGAAAATGAAAGGAGGCAGTAATGTTTTAGGCTCAGTTTTGTTATAAATATGCACACAGTGAAGATGACGCTCACATAAATATGCAGCTACACGACGCCTCAACGTTTTTAGTTACTGTAAAGTTGCTAATATCAAACTGAAAATAGGCAGTTCCCTATATTATGCTTTCATTTTATTGTTAAGTAAGTGAAACAACATAGCCAGGGTGATGTGACTGAGGTTATAAAGTATACTGTTCCCTTTGAAGATTTACCCGACGTGTCCTCAGGAGTTGGTTTTATATATAAAACTTCCGAAGTCTGAATTTACAAGCAGAAGGATCCCCGCCTCCATTTTCAGATGTCTCCATTTTCCCCAATCCACACTAACACGGAGCAGCAGTGTTTTAAACACCAAAACAGCCTTTCCAGCATTCTCAAAAAGCTCAGTTTTCGGCACTCGAAAGCTCCATCATAGTGTGGACCAATAGCATATTTGTAGCAAAACTTATGCGTTTGCAAACTAAAACATAGAAATGGTATGTTGGCCATCTGTCATCCATTGCTCACACGCCACTTGCAACTTCTCTTTGAACGCTCTGTTCACACCAATGTCCAGCGGTTGGAGTTCTATTGTAAATCGCTGCCAGCATACGTAGTGTACAAATTCCCTGTGTTGGCGGGAAATTCTCCAAGAGTCAATAAAAGTCGCAAAACAACATTTTTACAGATTTTGGAACTTTTGCATGTATTGTCAGGCGCACAGTCAATTTTTGACAAAAATTTATGCTCTTTGGTACGCCTTATAATGCAGAAAATATGGTACTATAATATATAATATAATATAATATAATATAATATAATATAATATAATATAATATAATATAATATAATATAATATAATATAATATATGCTGGGTGGAGTTTGCATGTTCTCCCCGTGTTGGCATGGGTTTCCTCCGGGTGTTCCGGTTTCCCCCACAAGTCCAAAGACATCTGGTACAGGTGAATTGGGTCTGCTAAAATTGTCCATATTGTATTTGTGTAAATGAGAGTGTATAGATGTTTCCCAGTGATAGGTTGCGGCTAAAAGGGCATCCGCTGCGTAAAAAATATGCTGGATAAGTTAGCGGTTCATTTCGCTGTGGTGACCCCAGATTAAGGGATATAAGCCGAAGGGATGTAAGGGATTAAGCCGAAAATGAATAATATAATATAATATAATATAATACAATATAATATAATATAATATAATATAATATAATATAATATAATATAATATAATATAATATAATATAATATAATATAATATAATATAATAATATAATATAATATAATATAATATAATATAATATAATATAATATAATATAATATAATATAAACATAATATAAATTTATATAATAGATTTTTTTTTAATTAACCTTTCTAATTTTTTTTTATATTATTACCTCTTAATGAGACATCAAATCTATCAAAAGAATAAGTGACTTAGTGGTCCAAATAGATCTCAACTATTCCTTGTGCTGCAAGCAAAAGTTCTTCAGTTTCAATTCAGCTGCGGACTGACCCAAAGCCAAGAGATAAACGCTGCAAGATCGGGTCATGGCACCAATTTAACAGTACTAAGCAAAGTCAACATGTACACACAGGCGCGCACACACACACACAGAGGACCGTGTATTCAGAAGATGCAAGTGAATCTTGAGTAAAGGTGGTGTGTCACTTACCTCCGGTGTCTGGGTCGTGGTAGTTTGGGTCGAGCCCTTTCTCCAGAAACTTTGATACCTTCTCAACGTTCCTCTGCTGAACATATTCCATAAACTTCTTCAAGTTAGCCTGAGGGAATGAGAAAGAAGAGAGAGACGGAGAGAGAGATGTGAGGCAAACTGAATAATGCAAAAGAAGGATAAAAGCAAAAACAGACGAGTTTTCCCAAGCGGAAGAAACCGAGATGGAATAAAGCTCCACACTACTCCACAGAAAGGACTTAATTTTAGCTTTTCGGGGATACGTAGACGAAAGCCTTAATAAATGCATTAGAAGAGTGCTTGATGCACAATTCCTGATCTATAATGCATTGTTTAATATCGTATAGCAATAGTTCAAAATACACTCAATGACATTTCTAAGTTCAATGTCTTAAGCCATATCCAGGCCTGATTACTAATAGAACAAATAATGAGTAGAACCTGCCTGACAAAGTAGACTAAAAGATCCTCAAAAGCTTGGCATCATGCTGAGATCCAAATAAATTCAAAAACAATGAAAAAGAAAATAATCGAAATCTACTAGTCTGGAAAAGGTTATAAAGCAATTTCTAAAGCTTTGGGACTGCAGTGAACAACAGTGAGAGCCATTATCTACAAATGACAAAAACATGGATCAGTGGTGAACCATCCCAGATATGGTTGGACGACTAAAATTACCCATAAGCTCAGTAACAACTCATACAAGAGGTCACAAAAGAACCCACAACATCATCCAAAGAACTGCAGGCCTCACTTGCCTTAATTAAGGTGAGTGTTCATGACACCACCATAAGAAAAAAAAGAATATATATATATATATATATATATATATATATATATACATACATACAAACATACATACATACATACATATATACATACATACATACATACATACATACACATACATACATACATACATACATACATACATACATACATACATATATATACATACATACATATATATATATATATATATATATATATATATATATATATACTTGAAGTCAGAATTATTCGCCACTTTAACAGAGAGAAGATTTTTTTAACACATTTCTAAACATAATCTTTTTAATAACTACTACATATTTTTCAAGACACTTCTATAAAGCTTAACTAGGTTAATTAGATTAACTAGCAGGTTAGGGAAATTAGGCAAGTTATTGTATAACGATGGTTTGTTCTGTATCGAAAAAATATATAGCTTAAAGGAGCTAATAATTTTCACTTTAAAATGGTGTTTAAAAAATTAAAAACTGCCTTAATTCTAACTGAAATAAAATAAAGTAAGACCTTCTCCAGAAAAAAAATATATTATCAGACATACTGTGAAAATTTTCTTGCTCTGTTAAACGTCATTTGGGAAATATTTCAAAAAGAAAAAGAAATTCAAAGGGGGGCTAATATATCTGACTTCAACTGTATGACGAATATGGTTATGAACATAAATAAAATGATAGCCATTATATTTGAACATACATGTACATATCAGTTGTTGAAAAAATCTATATGTAAAGCAGGTTTGCAATATTTATTTATAAGCATAAGACAAATGTTATATATGTGAAATCCAAATATGGTTAACTGTCCCATGATGCACCGTGAGAGAATTCATGAATGGGAGTGACGCGACGCAACTGATGTAGTATGTTTCGTGATGATGCGAAATGGCAGATGTAGTACATCCAAGTTACATTTAAACTGTACTTTCATGCTGTATAGAACGTATTTTTCTAACAGCCGAGTAGTACATTTAAATTCAAATGCAGTAATTACTGTAAAACCCAACAGTCAACTTTTTCAAATGAAATGAGTGTGGTTAACTCAAAAAAATTATTGAAAGTTAATTCCACTCAGTGTTTGAACTCAGTGTTGAAGGAAATGAGTTAATTAAATACCTAATTACTTCTGCTTAAATAGAGTAAGTTCACTGTAATCATTTAGTTTAACTGAAATGGTTTGAAGCATTCGGTTTCCTCAAACATTTTGAGTTGCCTTAACTTATTGGGTTTTACAGTACTCAGGTGGTTTGAGTTCTCTTCATTTATTGGGTTTTACTGTGCTCAAATTGCTTCGTTTACTCAAATGGATTAAGTTTGCAGTACTTATTAATATTAGTTTTTGAACTACAATGGTTTGTTGCAGTCGGTTTCCTCAAATGGTTTGAGTTACCTTCACTTTTTGGGTTTTACATGTGAAAATAAACCTCACTCATTTAAAATAAACAGTAAAACATGACACATTTTCAAAATACATAGGTTGGGGTTAGGGTAGGTTAGGGCAATATTACAGCTTCATATCACACTACTCCACAATAAAATTGACACTGGTAGCAAAATCAGATGGGTAGGATTTATCATCAAAATGTGCTGCCTACTTTTTGAATGGGAGATCGGACAATCTGACAAGGTAGGACAACTCGACAGACCACGGCCATAAGTTTGGGGTCAGTAGGATTTTTAAATGTTTTAAAATACGCGTCTCCTGCTCACCAAGGCTGCATTTATTTAATCAAAAATACAGTAAAAATTGAAAGATTATTAAATGTTATTGCACTATAAAATAACTGTTCAAAGTTTATCATTTAATGTAATAATTTATTCAAGTGATTTTAAAGATGAATTTTCAGCTTTATTACTCCAGTCACATGATCCTTCAGAAATCCCTAAAATATTTATTATGATTATAATTATTATTTTTATTATTAACAATTATTATTATTATTATTATTATTATTATTATTATTATTATTATTATTATTATTATCATTATTATTAGTATTATTATTATTATTATTATTATCATAATTTATTATTATTATTATTATTATTATTATTATTATTATTTTATTATTATTATTATTATTATTATTATTATTATTATTATCAATTATTATTATTATTATTAATGGTAATAGAAATAAAAGCAATAAAGACTGGAGTAATAATTTTAATTAAAACTACATACAATAAGAAAGCAGTTGCCTTACTATTTTAATAAATATTTAACAATTTCACTTTTTGATTATTATTATTTTACTTTTTTTTTACATGTAATAAATGATAAATTTTCTTTATGAACAGAATAATTTTCTTTTAAAAAATTTTGATTCAGCTGACCCCAAACTTTTCACCGGTAGTGCATTAAAACCAGGCATGTGCACACATAGGGCTCAACCTGTGCAGTGCACATGCCCTTTTTAGTCTTGGATAGAAAGTGCCCTTCCAAAATGATCAAAAGTGCCCCCGCGACGCGGCACACCTACGGTCCCGCCCTTCAGTAGGCGCGCGACAACACCGCTCTTGAGTACGCACGCGACAACACAGCTGATCAGTACGCGCGTGACAACACAGCTGATCAGTACGCACGCGATAACACCGCTCTTCAGTACGCGCGCATCCACTCTGCCCTCCACCGTTCTTCGAAAAATTTATCCTGCACATGCCCTTCGAACGGTCTCTGCACAGGCCTGATTAAAACATACATACATGTTATATCTGTAGTAAAATTGTGTACTCCTAATTGTTTTGTGGTTAAAAATCACATAAATCCAAACAATATTTTTTAAGTGCATCATGCATTTGCTGAAATATGTGTTTTTAATAAACAGTTCACAAATAAACACACTCATATATAAGTCAAAATACTTTTTAATGTAAAAAAATGCTAATATTAGATTCAGTTGAAAGTTATTTTTCTCAACCTAAAAACAAAGGAGTCTGCCAAGAGTCCAACACACACACACAAACACAAAGGAGTATAACATTAGTGTAGCTCTACTGTATCTTACCAAGTCTAGTCTTGCAGCCTGTTACATAAACCCCTCTGAAGATCGAGGCTGGCTAAACACACACACACACTCTCTTACGTGCACACACACACACACACACACACACACACACACACACACACACACACACACACACACACACACACACACACACACACACACACACACACACACACACACACACACCATCTCTAACACCTGTCCTCTGCCAACAGCAAGTAAAAGGCGTGGGTTTCTCACCATGTGTGGCGTTAGCTGATCTCCTGCGTCTTCATCTACTCTGATGTGCTTCAAGTCATCACACCGCCCTGATTCCACCCCGACACACACTACCATCTGAGCATCTCCGTTTCTCTCACACACACTCACTCACACATGCTCTCCGCAGCTCCGCCTTTCCATGCGGTGAATATTAGAAACTCACTCTCTCTGCCCGCTCTCGCTCTCGGCCACTCACACTGTTGTTATGGAGATGGGATACAAAAGAATTGTTGGCAAAGAGAGAGAGAGAGACAGTGTGTGTGTTAGTGTTGCGAGCCGAGCACAAAAACCTCTAGTGGTTATTTGATGAGAGTAAACTCATTGGATGGTGGCAAACCAAACAGCTTTTCTACTATGAAAAGAACAAATCATAGTGTAATATTACAGCTCTGTCCTCGTACCGACTAATATTTCCGCACATTTTCAGCTGGAGTACAACTATTGCCTCCAATTCCCACTGAAGTCCCATCGTAACTGTGACTGAACAATATTGTGGATAATGAAAGTTACAAGTCTGCTGGCGATTGATGGGTTTGTTTATACTAACTACTTTCTTCTGGCGTTTTTATTAGCAATTGTGGTTAATAAGAACTGTGATCGTTGATGTACCGCAAAGCTCGCTCGTTTTGACTTCTACATCATTTGTTTCACCTTCGCAGGGATAAGTTCTAATGTTGTAACAAACGATTTGATTACTTTCTCTGCGATGATTAATTTGATTTTTAAATTTGACCACGTTATATAAACACTTGTTTTAGGTCATAGAACACATTTTTGCAGTTTTTCCAAATCAGTTTGTAAAAAAAAAGGCTCTGTTTGCACGATTTGACTAACATCATCGTATCCAAATACTTGTATATAAATAATATTAGAAAATAGTAAAATTAGAATATACTCCACTGTTATTTGTTTTTAGAAAATATCTAAAATATCTAGTCAGCAGCTAGCGCTCTGCAAATCTCACCTGGTCGCCCACTGAAGCTAGGCAAGGCTGCTTTTGGGCAGTACCTGGATGAGAGACCACAAGGGAAAGC